ACATTGAAATTAATTAATTATATTTTATATAAGTTTTATAGTAAATAAAAAAAAAATAAAAACCTATTTTAATAAAATGTTTGAACAATATATTCAAAACTAAATATTTTATGTTTTTTTTCTTCCTTACCAGCCGTACGATCTTCATCGGACGGCCAAAACTAACGCTTACATCCGCCGCAGAGTTCATTCTCACCGGAGAACCGCCGCTGTGTTTGGTGCCAAAATCGCCGGAGATGAAGGAGAGAGCGAAAAAGCCGCCGCGACGGAAGAAATCTTCTAATGAAGCGGCACCATCGTCCGATTCCCCGAAGCGCGAATCTCCGAGCTCGAATCATCCCCGGCGGCGGCAATCAAGGAGCCGCGGCTCCGGCAGCGATTCGGCCGAGGGTTCGAGTCGCAGCCGCAGAGAATCAGAGGCCGTCTCCGGCGAGAACGAGGCCCCTGGGATTCCAAAGCAGTCGAGCCGCCGGAGAACGAAGGGCTCGTCGTCGAACAGCTGCGGCCGCGGCAGTGGGTCCACCCAGACTAGTTCGAGAGCCGATGGGAAAGACGAAGAGAAAGGAGATTTCCCTCCGGCGTAAACGAAGCCGGCAAAGGGGTGGAAAGAAGAAATTACCGGCGATTTTCTCGGCTCTGCTCGATGGCCATTAACCTCTTCATGAGCAAGATGACTCATTTATTTGATTCAGTGATCTTTTCATTAGCGATTAATGACTGTTGATTAAGTTTGGCAGATCAGTGGAGGAGAGAGAGCTGATTAAAGTGGGTCAACTAAGAATTTTTCTTTTTTGTTTCATGGAATTGGTTAAGGTTTTAATTTACTGGGTGGTAAAAAAAATTATCAGCATCAGAGAAATTTTTGAAATAAAATTGTTTGGATTTATTGCAAGATAATCACTGGATATAAATCATCAACATTTTTGTGTTAAAAGAATAATGCATACGAGAAAAAAAAAACTATAAAGATTCATAATTTTCACAATATTTTTATTCAAATGTAAAAATTTTATGATTTATTTTTTTTCTCTTTTTTGAATTAATCACCTCGGCCTCCAACGGTTAAGTTCATTTATAGCAAAAGTCAAATGTTAGCACTTGGAGGGAACAAAGTTTGAAAAAAAAATGTATTTGGATGAGAGAATTAGGAGGGTTCAGAATATGAGAGATTATTACATGCGGAGTCAGGACACGTTCAGAGGCCAATCCTAACGTGCCACGTCACCCAATACACTGTGTATTTGAATGAAGTGGTGCGCCAGGGTTAGCCTTCGGACGTGTCCAGACACCGCACATAATAATTCTTCTGAGAATAGTGGCTTGAGAAAGAATAAGCTAGAAAATGGAGGGAAAATGTATTTGGATGAGAGATAAGTATGTTTTAGGATAGTTGTCAACAATAGATTTAGGGGGAGACTGCAGGGGCACGTGCCCCCTGGGCCCAAAAAAAAACATAAGTGATATGTCATCAAAAAATTAACTTGATCTAACATGAATCTCGAGGCAAAAATCAAGTTAGAAGCTTCAAAAATTAAATTTGGGATCATATGAACTCTGATTTTAGCAAACTTATAGTCGAACTGATCGTCTCGGAAATATGACCCAACGACATCAAATCAAACTCAATCGGAGCTCAAATGGGTCCAAATCGAAGACCCGAAGCACTGTTGGAAGGTTCAAACCACAATTTGGATTACCAAACAGTTTCAAAACATGTCATGCTTATATCGAATCGAGCGGCTCGACGAGGCAAATCGAGCGAGCCCAAGATCGCCAAATTCCGATATCATTAAGACCTGCAATATCTGACGAACAATCCACGATCAAGGGATTCAATATCAGTCGTCCATCCAATCCACTCCACATTTGCCCTTGATCCAAAACGATCCTCATCCTATTTATGGGTCATCCCATCCTTAAAAACTATAAATAGCCCCTCATTTATCTTAAGAGGGGACCCAAGCAAGAAAAAGAAGAGAAAAAGGATAAGAGAAGAAGGGAAGGAGGGAAGAAACTCCTCCTCGACCACCGTCGGAGTTCCGTCCGACGTTTAACTGATGTCGAAGTTCCGTCCGACTTCCAAGTGACGCCGAAATTCCGCCCAACTTTCAAGTGACGCCGGAGTTCCGTCAGACTTCCAAGTGACGCCAGAATTCTGCCCGACTTCTAAGATACGCCAGAATTCTGCCCAGCTTTCAAATGACACTGGAGTTCTGTCAGACTTCCAAGTGACACAGGAGTTTCATCAGACTTCCAAGTGACACCGAAATTCTGCCCAACTTCCAAGTGACGTCGAAATTTTACCCGACTTTCATTTTCATCGCTTTCATGTTCATTTAGGAAATATGAATAAATTTTTTATCTTTTTAATTTTCTAATTAGAATAAGTTATATTAGAGGAATTTTATGTATTTTAGGCAATTTAATTAAAAAAAAAATAGACCCCCTCTATGAAAAGATTCTGGCTCCGCTACTGG